TATATATATATATATATATATATATATATATATATATATATATGTACATCAAGTTCCAGCCATGTGATTACATTGTTCACACTTTTTAGGCGGGAGTAACAAAGTGCGGAGTTCCAGAGGTAAAGCGCCATCGAGCTGCGCGACACTGTACAGCGGCACCACCTACCCGCCTCCGTCCTCGCGCGCGGGAGAGCAGATCAGCGTCCTGGCGGGTAGAGCGTGAGCGGAGAGAAGAGTTGTCCTGTATTTTAGAAGCAAGAGGTTGCAAATCGCCGGTAACACGTATTTTGCGAAGCAAGTTAATGGCGCGCTGTTGATAGAGCCGACTGGCAGTAAGTCATCCCTGTTCCTCGCACACGACCAAGATATAATCAAATTTGCGACGGCTGGAGACGACGCACAGCGCAGAGCTTAAGATCCTTTGGGGGCCTTGTGTCCTTTTCTCCGACCCATTGTCATAGATGACGAGGTAACAGCAAGCGTGTGAAGGGAACGAGACATTGACCGGGTTAGACAAGTCAGGCGGGATCTGATGACTCACACGGCACAACCCGATGTGCTTTGCCATCACCGTCGGTGACCACCGTTGTCCTTCTCACTTTTTGAGAGGGTAGATCCTGAGAGCTCCATGTTAGGTGCTCGTCGAACACTTCTTCAAGAGTCCTCACGGTGAAACCTTCACACACTGCGTCCTCGCGGAACCGAGCAGCATCGTAGCCATGCCTTGCAGTATTGACGGGAACCACAAGCTATAAGTTTCGTTTTACCAGCATTTACTGTCAGACTGTAGGAATGGAACCAGATCCTTAAAGACACAGGTGCCTGCTCCAATGTAGCAATGAGCCGTGGGAGGAAATCTTGTTCCAAATATAAATACTTCGGTATCAGCAGCGTACCTGGCCACGTGCACGTGAGAGGCGAACTGAGACATGTCAGTGGCAAATATCTGAAGGAGGAGTGGGCCTAGAAAGGATCCTTGGATCGGCCAGGGGCTTGGAAGTGCGTTGATTACCATGCCAATCAACGGTACAAGCAGATTGGGTATGACCACGGAGGTAAGAAGCGAGCCAGGTAGGATCAATGAAACTGCCTTGAAGTTTGAGAAATGCTTCGTGTGGTCGATCTCATCAAAGCCTTTAGAAAGATCGAAAGACCCAGAAGGTAATGAAGGGTAAGTTTCTAGCGGTCAGTGGCGACAAGGTATGGCTGGATACGGTAAGGAGCACGGTCTCTTTGGAAAATGGGGAGCAGGAGTAAAGCAGTCGCTGCACCACCCTTAGAATGTTCCATGTAATGCTTCCAGGAGTAAGGATATTCACAGGACAAATACGGACAAGAGTAAGGCAATTCAAACTAGTGTTGATAATGTGAGGAATGACGTGACAACCGATCTTTAACAAATCTTGACAGCTTTAATCCAAACTCGTCTGTCCCACAGCCTCCTGAATTATTCATAAAAAAGAGAGGACGGAGAGAGTCGATAGCCATGGGTTTTGGCAGATGGGAAAAGGCACAGGCGCCTAACGTGGGCAGACAGCATGGAGCCTTAAAGGGCCCCCACTTGGTTCGTCCTCACCAGCGACACGGGGGCCCAGCCCCCAAAGTACTCGTTTAACTCTTTGGGGGCGGCATGAGTTACAACTCCCTGTGTGGGTTTCTTGCCCTGCATGGCTTGGTTGATGGTTCTAAACGTGTTGGTGGGACATTTATCGCACCCTATGGGACACCACTTGTTTCTCTTCTTCTCCGGACACCACCTTCTCCAGACACCACCCTCTCCAGACACTTCCTGGTTACGACCTATCCAGGCTTAGGTTCCGTACTAACTCGCTGCGTCCTGATGTAGACACAGGGCATGCCTACGTGCTATGAACATTACATATCCATCTTCAAACTGCTTAAAATCGCACAACTTCATTCATTCTGTAATGGAAATAATTCGCACATGAACGGAATGGGAAGAGTGAAAGCGTCGGAGAAAGGAAGGGAGGAATACATAGTGATTTGATTTTATGGCTTGGCAGCCTGAGGAGCCACGTATTTCAGCGGCGTCTGCCTCAGGGGAGATGCATATTTCAGCAGCGTCTGCCTTAGAGGAGCTACCTATTTCCCCAGCGTTTGCCCCAGAGTAGCTACATACTTCAGCAGCGTCTGCCCCAGAGGAGCAACATATTTCAGCAGCGTCTGCCCCAGAGGAGCTACATATTTCAGCAGCGTCTGCCCCAAAGGAGCTACATTTTGCAGCAGCGTCTGCCTCATCCGTCTCACGCCGATTTGACCTTTGCTCGGAGCAAACATTAAGCTCTGGGCATTTCGAGCAGCACACCCGATGTCGGTTCTAAGACATGCACGTCAGCAGACTACAGGCTCAGATCGAGCTTCCCGGATGCATTGTCCGCAAAGTCCGCAAAGTTGGATCTGGCTGGAATGCGATCATGATAAATTTTGAGCATTTTAATGACAGAGAGTTTTGAGCTGGTATAACTATATATAGCTTGTAGTTAAAAGATAGTTTGCTGCCGATTTGTGCTGGTGTGAAATAGTTGTGGGACGTGTTGGTAAGGGCCAACCGAAACGCTTCTGCAATTGACAAGTGTCTACAAGAATGCTAGGATTCTGAGGATTTTCAGCGAGAGGCCATGTGCTGTCAGCAACGCTATTTGTATTATTGGGTTAAGTTGACTAACTTTTGTAACACAACTGGCGCTTTTGTTGCTCCGATTGTCCATGGTTTGCACGCCTCGCGATGGCTCGCTGGTTCTCTCGCTCGCCTAGGCTGTACATTTCAGACCAGATTTTCCGGTCCGAGAAAGCGGCTGCTTTTAACCACACAGCTTACCAGATGGTCGACATTGAATGCCTCTTGATGACGTCAGTGGAGAGGCGGGGATTTGTGGAAAGCGCGGCGGTCAAGAGCACTGTTTGAGCGTTGGGCGTTGTTGATGGAAAGCTTAGCTGCAGGAGCTCCACTCCCGTGGTGTCGGTGCCGGGGATGGGCATAAGACTATGCTATGTCAGCATCTGCCTGGGCTTAATAGGTGCTTTAGAGAGGTATGTGATCTCGCGCGGCATACTAATATCGCCAAGATATATGTTGAGAAGGTAGGTACTTTGAGTAGGGCCAGCATCGGCTCCATACGTGTTCTGCGCAAGGAACCAGAGACAATCGACGCACCGTGCGGCACTATGACATGGAATCGCACCGTGTGGCGGTGAAGCACTGTGTGGTGGTGTAGCACTGTGTGGCCGTGTGGCACCGTGTGGCCGTGTGGCACCGTGCGTCGGTGTGGTACTGTGTGGCGGGGTAGCACTGTGTGGTGATGTAGCACTGTGTGGCCGTATGGCGCCGTGTGGCCGTGTGGCACCGTGTGGTGGTGTGGTACTGTGTGGCGGTGTAGCACTGTGTGGTGGTGTAGCACTGTGTGGTGGTGTAGCACTGTGTGGCTGTGTGGCACTGTGTGGCCGTGTGGCACTGTGTGGCCGTGTGGCACCGTGTGGCGGTGTGGTACTGTGTGGTGGTGTAGCACTGTGTGGTGGTGTAGCACTGTGTGGCTGTGTGGCACCGCGTGACCGTGTGGCGCCGTGTGACCGTGTGGCACCGTGTTTGTCGCAACCACTCCACGCCGCTAAGCAACAGAAGATGCGTGCGAGCGTGTGAGACTCGATGACGAACTGTTGGACCGAAGTACGCATTTGGTGGGGTAATTGTCAGAGGTCTCTTTGCGGGCTGTAGCTAGTGCTGTACTACTAAGAATTCATGATCATCTGATCAGGATCACGTCGGTGATCATGATGACCACCGACACGAGATCAGCATTGCACGTAGTGCCTGTGCCTATAGTCAAAAATACCTTAGTTGTTGGTTATCAGCATTTTCACTAAATGTTGGTGGTTATAGTGGCCATGGATAGTGCCTGCTCATCCCACAGCCCCGGTCCCGAACCGCACACTCAAGCGCATTGCGTCTCCCCATGCTTCAGTTATGTTTACCACCGCCAGA